ATGTGAGAGCCTGGTCCGGTGAGAACCCGGCGTGCTCCGTCCCGGCTTTGTAGGGATGCGAGGTCAATGGTCTAACGACTACGGCATGCACGACTGTGAGTACACCCCTCCCCCCCCCTCCCCCCCCCGCAAACACCCTAACCTTTCGCATACCATTGCATACATGTTGCGTTGCCCCCTGCCGTGCCTCGCCGCGCAAGGTGCGAGAGGTGAAGCTGTCCCGGCGTTCCCTGGCGGAAGCGTCCTCGGTGAACCGGCGCCTGGTGCGGGCGTACGAGTCGCTGGAGCAGTCGCTGCGGACAACAACGTCGTCACTGGTGCCGTCGTCGTCGTCGTTCTCGAAGGAAGCCCCTCCGCCGCCGCCGTCGGCATCAACAACAGCAACGTCTGCTGCAACCGCGGACGCTGCTGCCGCTGTTTCAATCAACGGCGGTTGCAGTGCCGCTGCTGCCGCCCCCTCCCCCTCCGACGACGGCGCGTGCGATTCGGGGAAGGCCGTAGGAACGGCCGCACCAGTGGCAGCAGCGAGGGCTGCGGGGGAGAGGGCGGTTTCAGATTCCAGCACCAACGGCGGGGGTGCTGGTCTCGCAGCCAACCCCATCCCGTTGTTGCGGCCGGGGACCCGGGAGGAGGAGGCTGCTTGGGCGGCGGCGGCGGCGGCGGGTGCTCCGGTGTCCCCCGTCGTGGAAGGCTTGCTTGCCGGCGGCGGCGGCAGCGGCGGCGGAGGAGGAGGGGTTGGGGGAGGGGGAAGACGAGAAGAGTGGCGGGAGGCGCGGCTCGATGGTACCGCCGTCGAGGCCGGTCGTCGAAGTCGCGGCGGCAGCGTGGGAGGAGGAGGAGGAGGCAGAGGAGGGGGAGTAGGGAGGGGGAGCACGGGCAGCTGGCACGGGGCACGGGAGGGCTCGGCAACGGGGCCGGGACTGATGATGCAGTTCAGGAACCTGTCCACCGGGGACGTGGACGTGCTCGTTCCCCCAAGCGAGAAACCGCGGGGGCGGGCGTCGACAGAGAGCGGAGGCGGGCCCCCCGTCGAATCACGGGTGAGTGGAAGCTGAGGGCGGGGAGTTGGTTGGTTGGCTGGGAGGGGCGACTCCTTCGTGCTTCCCCTAGTTTTGGGGCGAGGGCCGTGATTTGGTTGGGCGTGGTGATCGTAATCTGGTAAATTGTCACCGCGGCGTACATGTACGTGGGTCTGTACAAGTATGCGCTCTCCGCTGCGTGATGGAATTTACTGCCAATCCTTTCAGGCCCCGGCTGCTACCTTCGAGCCGCACTCCTCCAACTTGGGCCTGAAGATCACTCAGACGTTTGCGGCGGCGAGCTGGCCCTGGGCGCCCAAGTCTAGCACCGAGGCCCGCGCTGCGGCCGCCGCAGCTGCTACTCCTGCTGCGGGCACCGGTACGGCTGCAAGTGGGAGCTCGACTGCTGTTGGGGCTGGCGATAGCGCAGGCGCGAGAGGCGGAAGAAGCGGCAGCGGTAGTAGCATCATCAGCGGTGGGTCCGCGGGAGCCGGCGTTGGAGAGGCCACTGCCGGAGGCAGCGGGGACAGCTGTGGTTCCGATGCCCGGGACGGAGAATCCGCTGCTGCTACTGCCGGCTCTGCTGCTGTCGACGCTGCGGGAGCTGGGAGCGGGGGCCGTGGCGGGGGCGGGGGCGGGGGCGGCTATTCCGCGTTCGTGGGGGCCTTCGAGGGCGTAATTTGTTCCATGGGAAGCAGCGGCGGTGCTAGAGACGGACAGACGGTGGTCCCTTCCCTTGTTCTTGACGAAGACGACGACGACGACGGAGATAGCGGCGGCAGTTGCGGCGGCGGCGGGCAGCTACCCTCTGATACCGTTACCGATGTTTGTGGCTTGGATGGTGGGAGACCACTCGCGGCTCGTTGGGGCGGTAGTGGCGAGGTTGGCGGGGAGGTTGCTGCTGGCGGGCGAGCGGTCCCTCGAAGAAGCGTGGGGGCGTTGGTGTGCCGCAGGTGCGGGGGCACGGCGGAAGGCCCCCAGAACAGCACCTGCACGTGCTCGGTAAGGGCAACAGCCGGCTTGTCTCGGGTTGTCCCGACAACCGTGCTCGTGTGCGTCTTGTGGTTGTGACGAGGCTTAGTCAAGGTAGAAGCATGTGAGGGGCTGGGAGCGGTGGCGCATGATGCATTGGACGCCCCCTTGCACGAGGTTCTTTCTGTCGACAAGCAAGAGCTAAATCCACGCGTTATTCCGAACCCCTACTGCACTGGTCGGCTATGCCAGCTGTCCTCCCCCCCCAAGCCGCGAGACCGCTCCTTTGAGCACTTTTCGCGCATTGTTCGATTTGCGAGCACCGTGCCAACCCGCCGTCCTTCAATCGCCGTCGTTATCGGCGGGCCTTTTGCCTCGCCACCTTCCGCAACAGGTGCCGGAGTTGGGCACGGGCGGCGCGGAACCGTTAGACAGGGATGAGACTCAGGCCACCGCCGGGCTCTCTAAGCTGAAGGGGGTCTTCAAGTCCTTCAATGGGGGAGTACAGGTATTATGAATTTTGCGCGAGTGTGTTCTCCAACCGGTGTTGCGGCACACAGCTGTGGGTCGGCCACCGGCTGTTGTGATCGGCACTTTGTTTTCCCATGATCTTGTTTATTTTCACCGTTTCCGCACCTTTAGATGCGGCCGCCCAGAGTAGGAAATCAAGATGTATGGCGGGGGGAGGGGGGCAACGTGTGCTGAACTGGGAATACGTATTGACGTGGTTTCGCGTTCAACATGTGTCGAGGTAATGCTGCCGAGTAGAAATCGATATGCTCCTTGATTTTTTTCATCGCAGAGGAACCAATTGGTTGTTGTCACACACGCCAACACGCCATATCCGCTTGGCTCGAGCGGAAGACTGCGAAAATGTGGCTCAGAAAGGAACGGACCGCAACCTGCTTGGTCCGTTAGTATGTACAGTTGTAGCTCTTGTGCATACACGGCACGTGGTTGTGTGCGGTTACGCTTCTAACTATGACGAGTTCCGGTCGCGCCATCATCTTTGGAATGAGCGTGCACATCACAGCTCGCTTTGTTTTCCAGCCTGTAACCTGGGGTCTGCCTGTGAGCGGTGAACGCATGACCCTCGCAATCCTTCGCTTTTCACTTTACGGACCCCCCGTTGGTTGTGGATCAGGTGGCGCGGCAGATGCTGGACACAGCTGTGCGACAGAACGTGGCGCACAATGTGCCCCCGGCGGTGGCCGCACGGTCGTCGTTGGGAGGTGACCGTCGCCCGAGCCTTTCGTCTTCGGTGCGTGTCGAAGCAGCGGGTAGTAGTGGCAGTGCTGCTGCTGCTACTGCTGCTGCTACTGCTGCTACTGCTGCTACTGCTGCTGCTGCTGCTACTGATGCTGCTGCTCCAGCTCGAGCGTCTGCGGTATCCGGTGTTGATAGCATTGATGCGACCGCTGGAGATCGTACTGGTGGTGATAGTGTTGCGGCTGCTGCTGTCATTGTTTCTCCTGCTTCTGAGGACAATACTGTTCGCGGTGATGGTGCTGGTGATGGTAACAACGGCGGTGCTGCTGCCGGTGCTGCCACTGCCGTTGGTGCTGGTGCTGCTGGTGCTGCCACTGCTGATGCCATTACTGATAATCCCGATGGTGGTGATGACGCCGGTTATGTTGCTCCCGGTGATGGGGATGACCCCAGTGATTGTGGCAGCAACAGCAGCGGTGCTGCGACTCCTGCTGCTGTTTCCACCATTTCTGGCACTCCAGGTGATGGTGATGACGCCGGTGGCAGTGACGGCGATGGCGTTGCCACGGGTGCTCCCGCTGTGGTCGCCGCCGGCATCCTTGCTGTCGGTGAGGATGACGAAAACGCGGGAGAGGAAGCGGGAGCGGAGAAAGAAGAGGCGGAGATAAGAACAGGTGGATCGGGCGAGAACGACGCCGATGGCGGCGGTGTCCTTGATAACTCCCCTAGTCCCGCCGAAGACGACGGGGGTGACGCGGACTCGAACCCTGGAGGGGATATCAAAGCCACCGCGGCGGGAGCTCCGGAAGCGTTCATCGAGCATGCTGCCGGTGTTGGCAGTGATGATGCCACCGACGTTGCTGCGGAAGCACGAGCTGGAGCAGCAGCATCGCTAGCAGCAGCGGCGGCAGCAGCAGTAGTGGTCCCAGCAGAAGCCGCGACAGCTTCCGCAGAACAGCGCGAAGGACAAGATGTGGCCACGCAACAGCGGCCCAAGCCGAAAAAATCTGGGAGACGAGGGCGTCGAGAACGACGGCGATGACGAGGAAAGCTGCGCCAAGGGTGGCAAGACTCCCGCCGAGCTCGAGTGTCCGATGCCCGCGTCGCGCAAGGGGAAAGAAGTAGGCGTTGCTGCTGTCTGGTGAGCGGTGGGTGCCCGTGTATGGAAGTACGACACTGCGGCCCAACTGGGGTCCTTTTACTTGTTGTTGGTGTTAGCCGCAATCCGTTGGTACTAGGTAGAGTATTTTGGTGCTTGGATTCGGTATTTCTCGTTGATCCCGGCGACTGAGTGGATGAAAAACTGGGATGGAGAACGTGGTAGCATTTCGCCTTATTCGTGATTTGATGAGTATGTTCCTTGCGTGAAAAAATATTCGGGGTTTCGTGGTCACATTTCTTGTGCTGTTTTGGCGTAGGTGGCACTCGATGGGCGGCCTGATTTGTGTTCAGTTGCTAAAGCTCTGGCCTCCGCTTTCCCATGGGGTTCACCTATTGAGTGTACATACAAATCAAATACAGTAGAAGCCTCCACTCTGCAGGCGCCAAACCAGAACCGCAGGGACCGGCGAGCGGATTGCATTGTGCGGTGCCCCCGGATGAACCCACATGGGAATTATTTGGTTAATTGTGTAGTGCTTGCAAGAGAGCAGGTCGTGGATCCTTGCACACACTCGTTGTCGAGCAGTTGGAGGCTGGATAAACGTCTTGGTGTGGGGTGGGAGGTGTTCGAGGCTAACTCACACCTTGTTAGAATCGCAGGTGGATTCCTTCCAACTACGTACGGGTCGTCGACGCCCGTCACACCAGGCAGCCTTTCAGTTTTTGGTCGTGAACGTGGCTGTTACATGCTCCTGTGATAAACGTGTATGTCCGCCGCACGCACCTCTTCTTCAGGAAGCGATTGTGGCGCCGAACTATGGAGGATTCCCAAGGAGTAGTTGATGCGGGATGATAGGATTGTGTTACTGTATGTTGCTGTCAGCTATGCGTTTGTGTCCGAGGATACAGTCCGGCTCCTTCTTGTGCGGCTTGGAAACGGTAGACGCGAGGGTTGGTTGGCATGAGTTGCTCGGGGGGCAGCAGCAGCAGCGGCACAGATCTCGGTAGTCGTTCCACGTGTCGTGGTGATGGACGTCTGCATAGATTGGTTGAGGGCCCAGCCCAGCCGAAACGACAGGAGTCGGTACGGTACAGAACGAGCGGAAAGATGGCAACACTTCTTCGAAGCGTGACCAGCTGTGTGTTGAAAGGAAGGGACGATTTGCCTCCGGCCATGTGGTGGCGTTGAAAATGAAGCCAAGGATGTGTGCCCTCGTGTGCGCTCTCGTCGCGCACGAACGGCCTCGGTAAAATGTTGCCTGCGCCTCAGAGGGTGAGCCCTGTACCGAACGGGGTATGGTGGTCCTTGAGAGCTCCCTCCCTCACAAGCCGACATTGCGAGACAAAGGCGCGAAGCGAACTTTCTTGAATCTCCGAGTGCTCTGTTCACCAATCGCAACGCGCGGTTGCCTCTCAACGCTCCCGGCACGCCATGCTCCTTTACAGTGTATAGTCTACTCGTCGACAAAATAGCCGAAGAAAACTGCCTAGCAGTAGCGCTTCTTCAACGAATAGCACGCGACTCCAATCGGTACACAGAAGAGTAAGTATCTCGCGTTTTTCCAGTTTTCGTCGGCTTCGTCGTCGTCGTCGTCTCTTGACTCGTCATCATCGTTCGTTTCCCCTTCGACTATCTTGTCCCTGAAGTTTGAAACAGCTTCCTGAGGGTAGCGGCGTTACAACCACGGAATTGGTGGTGTGAGGGGGGGCATGATGCCCTGTTCGTTGGCTACTCTGCTGAGTCTTGAAGAGGTACCACGCTTGGACCAGGGAGAAAGAGGGGGTGGAGGAATGCTAGCTTAGAGATACTTTTCCCTAGGGAACGGCTATTGGTACCCTTCTCCCGGGAATAATCCCCAGTGGATGGCTGATTAGCGTGGCCGAGTTCCCGGTTGGGGGTCGAATCCCAACGCCAAACTAGCTTTGGATTGCCCGTCTACCCTAACAGGGCTCACGGGGTTGCCATGAACGGCCGAGGAGGGTGGTGCAGACGCTAGCACGGCCTGTTGGTCCTGGACTGCACCACATCAATCAACGCGATTATGGACTTGTTTCTCTCGTCGCGGTTACTTCTCTCACGAATTGTGTATCGAAAAGCGCGTTCGCGCACACCCGTCGCGCTTCTTGATCGGCTGCAGTACAGAACACAACAAGGCCGTATCGTCCCAGTTGGCATACGGTGGCGGCGTGGCACTGTCGAGCCTTCCTCTTCTCCCTCAATCAATGTGCTGGCGTGGCCACGGTCGGTCCTAGGCAGGACGGGGTGGCACCACTGCCCTCGTGGTTGTCTCCGAGAGATACTACACCAAATCGTGCCCGGTGGCAGCACCTCATTGATTGGTTCCCCGTAAGGAGGACGAGCCTAAATGAACTGGTACTACGTTCAACGACCTTACCGCGCGGGTGAAAAACGCTACCGTGTGTAAAGGACGGAGGGTGATTGTTAACGATTCGGCGCCAATATTCCGACGACCATTATGCGAGGGAAGGGGACACGCTACTGAATATTCATAACCGCATGCCACATGCCACGTTAAATCAGGATGGGTTTCGTACAGAAGGTTGAAGGCTCGCTCGGTCAGTACCTTGTTTTCGTCGATGGCACGGGCGCAGTCCTCCGTCCCCGTGCCGGTCGGTTGATCCAAATACGAAACGTCGGGGTTGGCGAAGTAGTTCGCCCTCGCAGCCGGGCAGCCTTCCTGATAGCTCATTATTGTGATGTACCTGCGGGTGGCGTGAGAACCAGGGGAAACGGTGGTGTGCCGACGTAAGTACGTACTGTAGTAGTACATATACTTGGTACGGAGCGTGACAAGCGCAAGGATCACAGAACGGCCGCGCAACTGGAACCTCCAGATGACGATGATGGCGGGACAGCGCCGTAAGCTATTGGTCGGCGTGCTTCGCGGCTTCGGAGTGGGGCCTTGGACAGTAGCCGAGGACTGTTCGCCGTAGGTGAATCAATGGCGCTTTTTGAAATGCTGTATCTGAGTGAATAGTCTCGTAGTGGTGCACCCACGGGGTCATCACGGGGTCATTCAGAAAGTCGGGGACAACCGTTTCGGTAGGCGTGAGGAACAACAACACATGCCGGTTTGCAACAAGGGAATGCCTAGGCCGAATACAACCTGATATGACTACATACACCATGTCGCTGGCACGCATTCCATGATTTGGTCAACGCGAGTAAAGCGTGGTGGGTGACGGTAGATCAACTAGTTGATTAGCTGGATTTGTGCTTCTTCATTCAAATATTTAGTTGTTTACTTTGTCTTGTACGGCTTACTGGGGTGATCATGTGGAGTGAACGCCGTCTCAATGGTCAGGTCAGTCAAGGCAGCCAGCACCATGGAAGTCCTGCAAAGAATTTTGAAAATACATGACCACAGCACAACACAAAGCAACAACAACAACGTCAACAACGGCGACAACAACAACAACGACAACGACTTGCGGCGCTTTGATGGAACGCGTCCTTGACGACCTACGATGTGCATCACGCCCCAGAACTGCCTCTTACGTGGTACCCGAGCAATACCGGTAGCCGTGAGCGTACTCCATTTCGATGGAGCTGTGCTCGCGATTATGTGCGCAGCCAAGGTTGTGACCGAACTCATGCCCGATCACCAAGTTGTCGAAACAATTTGGTGACACCGCGGCGTAGGCCCACTCGCTCTCCGTTGAGTATTCGTTCGTCAAAAAGTACCTGATAAGGAACAGGGGAAAGCTCGATTATCTCTTGTCATCGCCTTGGTACTATCTCGCTACTACGCGCCTTGCTTTGAGGGGTAGATTCTATCCTGATCCCTCACGAGAGTGTCGGTCACTCTTGGCCCCACGGATGAGTCGCATCGCCTGGTACTCTGCAACAACTGGGACCGAGCCTTGAAGAGCTGGATTGAGCTTCAAAATGCCCACGACAGCAACAACAGATCAACGAACAACAAGAGCAGCGACGGACGGACATCGGGCCAGCCGGCCGTGTGGTTTTCTCACGCGATTCCGCAAGCGTCCAGTAGGTAGTCGACAAGAAGAACGATGTCTGCCCCGTACTCATCGCGGAGCGCGTTAACCTCCTCGTTCTCTCGCAAGTCGCTGAGTTTGGTGCTGGAATCATCCGTGTAATCTTGGGAGTACGGCAGCTGCGCCGAATAAGCGAGACGAGCAACAGAATCAGACGAAGACCTCGATATAAGGGGCACAGCCGAAACCCACGCGCTTGTTCATACCCACTCAACCACTTCATGTTTTCAGCGACCAGCCGGCATACATACTCTGATAGCCAAAACTCTCTTTGTCTGCCGCTGCTGCTGCTGCTGCTGCTGCTACTGTTCTGATTTCTTATGGTATCCTCTTGTGGAATCAATGCAACATTTTCATCTGCGACTCGAAAGCGCATCTCGTCGTCGCAGGTGGGCACGTGAGGACGTAATGATGCTCTTTTGTTTGAGACCGACATCGCGCAACTCACCCTGCCCTGGTAGACTGTGGTTGTCTCAATCCCGATGTGGGAATTCTCGAAGCCCATGTTCACGGTCGAGATGGCGGCGGAGACCATGGTTTCCATCTGGACGTCGCTCACGCCCATCAAGACCAACGACATGTTGGTGTAGAGCACCAGAACCTGAATCTGTGTTCTCGTATGGCAAACGTTGGAAGGAGGAAGCGAACTGGCGTATCATACTGGAGCAAGCTGACGCCTATTTTGTTCAAACTGGTTTCTACAAGGAGGTGGGTTAAAGCAGAGGGGGGGGCAATGGATTGATGGGCACAGTTGTCCCCCGCTATGGGATCCCCGTAGTCCCGACGGCCCTCCTTCCGCAGGGGTAAGGTGTCGTTTATATTACCTCATACTCTTCGTTGTTTTCTGTCCTCACCTTGGTATTGCCTGTCTAAAAGTTTACCCGACGACTCCGACGATTGTGAAACGATTTCCAGAAGGGTAGTTCGCTGAAATTGCAAATGATATGAAATATCTGGTGAGAGTGTCCTAAGCGCTGAACATGTGGACTTTGCCATGACGTCGTTTGGTCGAGGTGGGTCATGTACAAAAGCACCCTGCTGCTATGTCCGGTGAAACGCAGACGAAAAAGTAAGAACATATTGGCAGACCATGCCCGGCACGCATTTGCTCACCTCCACGGGGTTGGACTGCAGCTTGCGGCGTCGACCACTACCGCCCCCGCCGCCAAACCAGCCCCATCCGAACGCCTGTTGCTGTTGGTGTTTGGCACGGCTGCCCCCCCCAAACATACCGTTGCCCAGCCTTCGTCTCACGGCCGTGGACTGGCCGGTGCTGTTGACTCCGACCCCGAGAGGCTCTTTGCCAGGAAGAAAATCAAATGCGACCTGAAACACATAGAAGCACGAAGAATCAAGCACACTCTTCTGCATTGCGTTCCAAACCTTTCTCTAGTTGCGCGGGAGGATGGAAGCAGGTCCGGTACACGATTGATCATTGCCTATCACAGGCATTCCAAGAGAATTCGGCGCCGAAAAGAAGCATACGTGGTACATTTTGCTACGCCTTTCCCCAAATACTATTGCTTGACGTGTCCAACGCCACAGCATGAATCTTTCCGCCTGAACGATCGTTGATGTGCCTTATAGATACTGGTTGGCCGTGGCTGAGAACGCCCCATGCTAAGGACCACTAGAAGGATGCCGCTAGTTGTATTAACGCAACAGCACAATGACTCACACCAGCATCAAGCAACAATGGTAGCGACAACGCACCTCGACGAGACAAACCTCCACGCCGGACAACCCACACGGGACGGACTTCATCGTGGACGTGTTTCCTTCGACGGTGTGCTTTGATACCTTTAGAGAGAAGGTCTGATCAAATCGCGGGCAGGGGAAGAGGCGAGAGGGAATATTCGAAGGGTATTCCACCATGAAGCTCGGCTTTCACAGCGGGTATTCCATCCATACGGACAGTATGCTCCACTAAGAAATAAGTCCCTTCGTTCATAGTTGAAAAGGCATTAGAATCCCCACGTTTCCTTCGTGCCAGTGAGCAGGTTGAATCGTTCCCAATTTTGATGGCGTGTTGTCCGAAATTCAGCTCGTGCGTCGCGTCTTGGGTATGACCAGCTTGCGTGTTGCGTAGCAAAAAGGCTGCGATTTTCGCCTCCGTAGTGCTGAGCGCCGTTAGCGATTGCAGAAACCAACGCCAGGCAATGGGTTCGCTGGGCACGAGACATATGTTTCCACTGGTGGACCTCCTCTTCTCAATATCTTGAGTAAGACTGGAGTCAACCCATGCTTCGAAACTTGAAGCTTCCGCTCTTGTAGACATGTAGTTCAGGGCGTCCTTTCAGGTACCTGAGTATGTGTTTGGACCTAGTCCAACGCGCCTTGGAAGACTTGCTGGTTGCATAGACGATGTCCCAACGGCTGATCCTGCAGACATAGAGTACGTTTCGGACAAGCCTCTGGCATGTCCTGATGCCGTTTTTCATTGTAGTGGCAGGAGATGGCCATCAGTATACTCTCAATGCGACAGACCGGCGGATAGGTGGCTCTGCAGTCGATTCCTGGCCTCTGAGGCTATCCTTGTCAGACAAGCCGTGCTTTGAATGTGCAGTCACTCATGACCAACGTGACTCGATGACCTTGCACCCAGCTGGAACAGTAGACACCATGGGATCAGTTCGTAAAGCTGTTCTTCTTCAGCCTGGCCAGCTCCTCGTTCATATCCTCTGTCCATTGAGCTGTCCGCGGTCATCCCTTGGCCTTCTTGAAGGTCTTGAAAAGAGTGATGCTTGCTGCGTTTTGGATTTGGGTGTTCGTTTCCGTGATACATGCGCACTCGACAAAATAAGCTGCTTCGTCCTCGTGTTCAATTCTTTCAAGGCTAAGGTTTGCAATCGGTACAGGATCCCCGTCGTCTTGCCGTCGAGCCCTGCAGTAGTCTCGACGCTTAGGGTGCTGTGCGCCGTTGTTGGCGACGGAAGCATCCTGTTCAACGAGGTGACGGGTAGAAGCTTGAGTCTCTTCCTCTTCCTTCGTGTCCTAGCATGGCTCCTGAGTCGCTTGGTGCATCTCCTGACTCGATGTGGTCGAGCGCCGATCCCGTGGTCGCTCTGTTCCCCGTGGTCATTATCTGTGAGCGGCGATCCGTTGTCACTCAGTGTTCCCCCTGATATCGGCGAAGCGGGTGAACCTGAAATGCCCCCTGACTCCATGGATGGGGGCGGGCTTGGTGACCCCTCCAAGTAGCGTGGTTGAGGCACATCGTCGTCCTCGTCCTTGGCCTCTGTGATGCCAACGCTTGCAATCACCAGTGGTAAGTGCACAAGGACGTCCTGTCGGCATCAGTCGTCATCGTATCCAGTGCTGGAAGGGATTTCGTCCTGAGCAGCTTCCGGAAGGTTCTTTTGAGGTGTTTCGACGAATGTCACATAGCGACTCTCGGTGATTCTCCGAGTGTGCGGGTTGTAGATGGGGTAGGATCTGCCCTCCTTGCCGTTATCACAATCAAGCGTGATGCCTTCCCGAACCTTTCCTTCCAGTTTGTTGACGTGACTTTCCCTGTGAACCAACACCGGAGCACCGATGGTCTGGATTTCCGACAGGTCTGAGTCTTCACCGAACAGCCTTGAAGAGGGAGAGTTCCCACCAGAAGCGGTAAGGAGAAATTGGGTAGGCCCGTGCCGATGGGAATGCACCGCGTCCTGTCCACAATAGCCATTCCGTTGCGTGCTGACAGAAAGTTTTGCTCGGGAGTGCTGGTGGCGGCGAACTCCATCTGAATTTGCTGTCTCCTTGCCGTAGTTCCTGTAGTAGTTGGCCACTTATTATCCGCCCTTGTCACACCTCAGGAGTTGCATCCTGAGTCCCATGGGGATAACAAGTGTTCAATGAAGTACGGTCCGTGTGTCGAGTGTCTCGTCCTTGTATGAAATCGGGTAATCTTTCTTCCGTCTTGGGTGAGAATGGCCCGTTAATTTGCTGATGTACATCGAGTCTTTATTTGCTCGAGGCTAGAAGAGTTCGGCCATGTCCGTGTAGATGAGCTAGCCCATAGAGCGAAGTTTTCTCGTTTGTCCGATGCCTTGGGATGATTTCGTGCGCTCTTGCCTAGCTTGCAAGCCTTGCATGGCTTGAGGCTTCATCTTGAAACATGAGACCCGAGTCAGGTTTGGAACGAAGAATTTCATGCTGACCTCGTAGGGTGTCCAAGGCAACGGTGGCATTTCTCGGTGTCCTCGTTCGTGATGAGGAGCGCCTTTGTCTTTTGAGATGTTGGAGTCGATCTAATAAGGCTTCCCATGCTTCCGCCTTTAAAAACAAGTGCCGCCCTTCTCAAGTCTTGGACTGTTGGATACGACGGTCTTGATTCCCTTTTCTTTGTCAGCTCCGGATGAGAAGAGGTTTCTCCCGCGCTGTCCACCGTCATCGACAAGCTCTTGGTGCTGTCCTCTGACGTGAAGGGGGCTTATACCTCTTCAGCCATTGCTGTAAACACGTCGCCCATGGCGTTCTGGTTGCCTTTTCTACTGATCCGACGCCGAATCTAACAATTCCCCGTGCTTATCTACCCAAGCGATGTTACCTGTGGCTACGTTGGCGCCTGACCCTTCCTCCTCAGTATCACTGGCGAAGGGCGTTTCTGCCTGCTGATGCCCTTCCTTGGAGCCCGAACTCGGCAGGGACTTCGCATTCCTCTGAGCGTGGCGTTCGGAGTCATCGCGGGAATTCACCTCATGGAGAGAATATCAGTTCTTCTTCCCACCCTATCTCGGTCTTCCCGCGGCTTGAACATTATTGGGCTACTCTTGGACTTGTCGTCCCCCCCCTGCTTCGTGTATTCGCTATTGTAATGTCCAAGTTGACCGCGCCCATGGAATTTGACCTCCGATTTGTCGTACTTCCTGGAACCGGCCGACTCTGCTGTTCCCCTATCGCTTCGTCTGGATCTCGTGGATCCATTCATGTTCATGTTGTGCATTGGGAGTTGTACATCTCCCAGTGAGTATTCAGGATCTCCGACGGCTTGGAAACGGATGATGTCGTGTACTCCAGTGACGTCCCAGCCAAATTAATGTCCATACTCCTGTGCTCCGATACAACAACCTCTCCCACCATCTGTAGCCTTCCGCAGAGCTGGCCGGTTTTCGTGATGAAGATGTCCGGGCCTGCCTTCTGTGGGAAGGTGTTCCTTAGTACTTGCGGTTTGGTGCAAGCCACCCCTCCCGACAATCAGTTTCCTGACCTTGAGGGCTTCGGTGCTTGTAGAGAAAGCATCATGTTGCCCCGCTTGTTGTCAGGAACAATACGCTGTACAGTGCAGCGACTTTCTTCTCCGATACCCGTATCCCATTTGCGTTGAGTTGAGGGCTTGATGGTGCTGTCGTGTTTCTTGTAGAGTCTTCGATCCCCGTAGGGCTGTCAGAAAGCCTACCCTGCGTCCAAAGGGCTACGGAAGCTGTTCTGCTGCAAGGTCGATTCCTGCTGCCCCTGTGTCTTGGACACTTGCTTCAACCAGTTTGCGGTCCCAACCAGCGGCTTATCCGCTGGACACCAGGGCATCCTGGGTGTCTGCACGCGTGCACTTGCGGTCTTGGTGATACTCACCGGTCAAAATCTTGAAGATGTCGTTCATGGAGATTCCAGTACGGCTTTCGTGACGGTTTTCCACTGCTCATACTTGATAGTGTTACCATGGCACTGAGGAACACCACACTACAGAACTCGACGAACGAAGTTTTTCTACGAACGGAGAAAGCATGTTTTATCTCGTGTCTGTTTCAGAACTAAATATACTTGGGCGCATCTGCAGCCCGAACCCTAACGATGGCTCAGGCCAACTCTGAGTTTCCTGCCCCTTGCACGAGCAAGGTGTCTTCTAACGGCGAAGCGGGATGCGAGCATGTCTCTCTAACAATAAGTAGCAAGAAGCGCTCACCTCAATGTCGCATACTTCGCCCCAAGTCATGCTGACGCCTCGTGGGAAAGCCTCATCCGCATCCGGTGCGGGGTCAATGACGACCCCGTTCCAAATCTTCAACAAAATGTTTCGGGAACGCCATCGTTGGTTTAACGCACAGCAATTGTCGTTGTTTTGATTGTTGGTGATGGTGTTGAATGGTTGCGGTGGTGGTGGCAGTGACTATCAGAAACATTCCGCAATATAACCTAGCCGCAATGGAACACCAACAAGGGACGGGCGCCCTACAGCAAAATAGGCCTACACTGCTCACCCTTCGACCTACTCCGCCCGTAAAAGTCTCCCCACTGACGACCGTGTAGGAAGTTTGGTTCGCGATGATCGTCTGCCAAAGTATTGGACGATCGACGGACGGCTGAGGAGAGAGAGGGTTTCCTTTCTAAAGTACATGTACAATAGTGTGGGAGGTGCACCGTTGCACGGAACCTTGCTGGACTTACGAGGTACGTGAGAGTCGTGGCCACGCTTCCTGAAATCGAGCCAAGCGCTACACCACCAATGGACCAACCTCGTTAGCGCTAAGCGCGAACTGAAGGAGTGGTGCGTCTTCTGCTTGAACCAGGCCGTCGCACAGCAGCTCGCCCAGCTGGACCTCACCAAGTACTGAACGATTCGTAATTTCATCGTCGACGGGTGAAACGAGGTTGGGGTGCTCCACGTGGTACGCCACCGTGCGCCTCTACTCTCGTACCATAGTGTTCCTTAATCAAGAACGCTTGCAACGCGTATTCCACAGGTATTCATGTACTGTTGCCCTTCACGACAGCCACCTTTATGCCACGGAAGCCGGAACTTAAAAAGTTTCGGAGCACCATTCCCAGCGTTTCGTCGACCACCGCCAACGATGTTCGGTGGTAGTTCAGGCCCTACCTTTCCTTGTACAGTAGTGGCACACAGGTTGTTGCCAGAACACCTTGAGATAGTCCACATACATGCGAAATCACCTGTGACTTGCTCGTCAACCTCGAGCGTTTCGACAAGTTCCTTCTCCACGGCTGACACGTTCGTGAAAGCTCCGGACGAATTCGACAGGACCGTGTCTCCCACCGCGGCTGAGGTGTTGGTTGATATGAGCTCCAAGCCGTATACGACTGACGAGGACGACGATGAAGAGGACGAGTTCGCCCCGACAGGTACACTTACGTCCGTTTCAGATGACCATGATGAATTTGTGGCTATTGAATCGACAGCGTCAGCTGTTGAGTTCAGGGATGTCGAGTTCGTGGCCGTCTCACCCTCAATCTCAGATACACTCCCGTTGAGAACAGTGGACATCGGGGTTGAGAAAGAGGAGAGGGATGCACTGCGCAGCGGTCGGACAGAACCGATTCCTGCGAAGGGAACACCATGGAGGGATCTTTGGCAGAGTCCACTGTCCATTCCCGCAAAAAATACTAGCAGAGCGTGCCCACAAGTTGATATACTCATGGCGCAGCTCATTCAGCGGCTGTTTGCCTTCCTTGATGCCTGCAGGCAACACCACGAGGGCAGTAACGATATCACCAGCAGCAACATCGGCAGAGGACATTACCAGTGATGTCTTCACAAAAACTTGTAGGGGAGCTCTACATTGTAGGTGTAGTCTAGAGAAACATGCAAGGTCGACGGGTTCGTTCGTGAGAGGCGCTCACCCCACAACTTCGAGACACCGTTCAACTGTCACACACAGCAGTGCGGCTGTGTTGGCGTTATGTTCGACGTCATGTGCTGTTGTATTCGGGTTGTGCTCGCTTCCGTTGAACCTATACGGGCCTACACAATCGGTGTGTTGCTGTTGTTGTTGTTCTTCTGGTCTTGACAAACACTAAACGGCCAAACTGCCGAGCAATGGAGGTCCTGGTCGGAGGTAGAAAGGGAGTTGCGTGATACATGTAAAAAATGACACATGCCGACGCAGAAGGTGCCCCGATCCGGGCGTTGTGTCGAGAGCAAACATGACTGCAAGGTGCGACGTCCATCGACGAACAAGAACATTGGGGTTGCCGCGGCGAAAATGCAGGTTTTCCACCACTGGCCACTACGTACTGGCGCTGGACAATGTGGCATATGGGCGAGAATCTTCTGCTGCCGGGGAAACAATATCGTCGTATGTACTGTAGTTGTGTTCCTTTCTCCCAAGGGCAACAATTCATGGACGAGAAGATTGTATGTACAACAACAGCAGCGGGCAAATAATACATGTAGGCGAAACGACAGTTCCACATGCCTCCTCGAAGTTCTCTATGCATACGTTTGCAGTTGTTAGAAGTTTTGCACAGGCTCTGCACTGCAGATGGGCGTCAACTCTTCCTCGACGGTATTTCGGCTCAACAAGAACCTTTGCAGGCGACGTTGAGTGTAGTACTTGCCCAAAGCACACAGCACAGCACATTGAAGGATTGTGAGAACTGTCTGTACATGTACCCGTATGCACACTGCTGCAGTACCTGTGAAATGCGCCTTTCGCGAGCCCAAGGTTCCAAGATCTACCCCTCTCCTTGCCTCGACGTTACCACATGCTCCTGTGCTTAGAAAAAGGCGTTGGTGGTCTATGGCGCGATGGGAGGGACACATGTACCGCGTACCGTTGTATACTGCAGGAGTAGAGATGTGCACCATGCCATACGAAGTAAAATCCGCCGTTTCGAGAATCGCAAAGTTGTGTAGTCCAGATACATGTCTCGCCGCATCGCCGCATCGCCGCATCATCACCGCATCGCCGCTTGCACGAACCAGAACGCCAACGTCGCAAAACTGGTTCACCCGCTTACCCATCCGCCCGTTCACCTTGCCCCAATTGTCTGTCTGTTGCATGTACATACTGCTGTGTAGCTTCTTTGGAATGGACGCCCTCAAGCAATCACCGTCATCAATCCCGACGCGTTGGTATGTTAACAACCCGCATGGCAGTATATCTGCACGGTGATTTATTTCTTTGCTGCCGCGGTGACGACAACTCTGCTCTGGTGTGTCCTTTCCTTCATTGGATGATTGATTCGTAGAGGTGACGACGTTTCGGAAAAAACGCGCGGTGTCGTAATAAATATCGGCTTATTTACGACGACGCCGAGTCGGTGCTGCGGCCACACTCTTGGGGGTACCTCGAGCACCACATTTTGGTTTCGGCCAAATGACGGCTTTTGTGAGACAGCCGAGGACCTGAGAACACAGCTCCATTATTTCCGTGCGTTTTGTGAAAGATGTGTATTACGGTGTCGAACAAAGCATAGCTTATTCGACATACTCGTAGCATAGCATGCGGGTGGTATATTGCGTATACATATGCGGGTATTGCAGTGACGAACTACGGAGGAACAAGAAGTTTCTTTATGTTTTCCTTGGGAGTGTGGTAGATTGGTGGACTTTTATGGAGATTCGTTTTGGGTGTTTGAGTGTTATGCGTGACTTGATGCCGTGATGGAATGACGAGCTCAAGCACGCCCCCGATTAATACAACACGTATACAACACGGATACAACACGTTTCCCAACACGTTTTTACCCATCCACGCCCCGTCATGGGCCACCCGCTCTAAACTCCAAGCACACAGAACTGGGTCACCCGAATTATCGATCACGCTAGCGTATGGAACGTCGTCTACGAGATTCGCGTCGAGCTTAGTTTGGAGTATCGCTTTGCGGCGATCAGCAACTGTCACCGATGTCCAGCGCCGACCAAGAACGAGGCGCCCGTCACGCAGAAGACGAGGACGCCCGCATCAACGAGTTGGTGGAGATGAGGGTACAACAACGACTGGCCGACA